AATATGATTTGATGAAACCTGAGACTTAAATCTCTTGAATGAAATATTATCCTCTTAAATTTTCTGTGCTGCTACTACAATTATTATTTTTGTTCAAAAGCAACCAGTTGTTGACTTTCATTATTGATATTTACTTTTCATGATAAAAACAAAGAAATATATAAACTCTTGGTTGACATTGCTTACCAAATGATAACATTGTTGTTTACAAGTAAAATTTCATATAATCCCATTCAGTTATATGAACAATTTAAGAAGTCTTCACAAAATATGATCTATATTCAATAACCTATTACTTTCTATTGGCAATTATAGAGTATTTGGAAAAATTAATAATAGAAGAGTGAATTGTTTTGCTGTTTTATAATGATTGACTCATGCTTATGTGTAAACTCATAAAACTTGACTGCAATGTGAACAGTTGGTTCATTATTTTCAGTTGCTCCATGTTGCTAAATCTTTGTTACACGTCATTATGCTCTTGTATAGTTTCAAGTCACAGCAGTTTCATGAGAACATTGGAATTGTTACTGTAGGTAGAATTAACCAATTAGCAAGGTGATCATTAGCTTTTAAGGACAACATTTAAATGGAAAGCAAAAATAATTTAAGTTAGTTTCTTCTAGTATATTGGAAAAGTGGATAACTAAGTGAGGTGTATGAGATTTGACTACTTTTTAGTGAAGGAAAAAAAAAAAAAAAAAAAAGTAGTTGAAATTCCTTAACTTGGTTGGTAGCACAACACTCGAATTATAAATTGGAGATACCAAAATCAAATAAGTACAAAAATTTAAATATCTGGGAAGTGTTTTAACAGAGAACAGAAACTGGCCCTGAAATTTGAACATACATTGGAATAATGAAAGATGCTAAGCAAAGTATTAAGAAACAAAACTTTTGGTAGAAACAAAGAGACTGAACTGTTATATAATATCAGTCCTCTGAATGCTGGACAATCTTTTCAGATGAAGAGACCTGATACAACATAAATGTGGTTCTACAGAAGGATACTGAGAATATCATGAACTGAACATGTGAACGATGATAAAGTTTTAGAGAAAATGAAAACAAAAAGGACCTTTTTTTTATGCTTAACATCAGGAAGAGGAAATGAGGAAAGATGGTTTGGAAAATTTGATATTCACAGTATGTTGAAGGCAAGAGGGACAGAGAGAAATAGTGTATAACCTACCTAATGAGATTGAGTAAATGGATGGTGGAACAAAGTTTAGGAGAGATAATAAAAAAGACAAAACTTATTAAGAGCAACATAGAACAGAAAATTGTGAAGGCTTATGATCATCAACCTTCTGAAGGGACATGGCACATAAAAAGAAAGCACTTACTAAACTGAAAATAATGGTAAACTAGTAATAAACTAAAAAAAAAAAATAATTTCATGATTGTCAAGGATACCATTTTAAAAATATTTAAAGTTTTTGTATCTTTTATCAAGAGATAGAAACTGTTTAGCTTACAACTAATCTAAGATTGTGTGTGTGAGAGAGATGGAGATACTATCAAGTGTTAATGAGGTTCCTTGTAGGAATCTATAGTAACAGTTTTGATATTGTTCTGTAAATAATCTAGTTCCAAAAGGTCTTACTCAATCTTCATTATTACAATTTCATATAATGATTAAGGAGTTTGAGCTTTTTCACTTTCTCTATATTAAGTAAACATTTGTAGGATTTCTAGAAAGATTAACATGTGAGTTAATGGACTCTCTGCTCTTGTGACTACAGCTTCAGCATTTCCTCAGCTTAATAAGAATCAGGATTTAGCTAACAATAACTGAAAGTATATATGAAGAGTTTTGTTTTTTACTGTAGGATTTTTAACTATCCTAAACTGTAGTAAAAGAAAGTGAGAAGAAAGGACTAAACATCAATCGCAGGAAGACTGGATGCATGGTTATTAGCAAAAGAAACAGCCCAACATGCAAATTATAAATTGGAGATAAAAATTTAAATATCTGGGAAGTGTTTTAACAGAGGACAAAAACTGTGGCACTAAAATCCAAAGGTGCATTGGGATAACGAAAGATCCCTTCCAAAAGTTAAGCAAAGTATTGAGAAAAAGAAAAATTTTGTTAGGAACAGAGAAAGGAGTACAGAACTGTTATGTAATATCTGTCCTCCTATATGACAATGAATGATGGTCAGCCTCCTCAAAGATGAAGAGACTTGAAGCAACAGAAATGTGGTTCTACAGTAGGATACTGAGAATACTATAGACTGAAATGTGTGAGCAACAATGAAGGTTTAGGGAAAATGGAAACAAAATGACACTTATACTTAACATCAGGAAAAAGCAGTTGAAATTTTTAGGGCACATAATGAGGAAAGAAGGCTTGGTAAACTTGATACTCATAGGAGAGATTGAAGGCAAGGCGGTCAGAGGAAAACAACACATAACCTACTTTGCAAACTTGAGTAAATGGATGGAGGAGAGATAACAAAAAGGAGAGATAAAAAGACAATTTATTAATAGCTACAAAGGACAGGAAATTGTGGATAGCTATGATCATCAACATTTTGAAGGGACACACCACATTGAAGAAAAATAAACTAAATTCTGTTTTTTATAGTCATATTCCTTCTCTAACCTGAAAATAAGTGTTTTTAATAAGTTGCTTTGTTTAATAGTTACTTTTAGATGTTTTGCCAATAAAACTTTTCAAAATTTATAGCTAGATCTGAATGTCAAATGTGTTTATAGCAAAAAAAGTACAAAGTAATAAGCAAATCTAGATTCCTGTCTTATTAGTAAAGAAAAGGAAAAACTTAAGTTTACAGCTTCTTAACTTAATATATAAGATGTTGTTGAAAAGTTCTTTGCCTAACCAAGAAAGGGTAAAAAAAAAAATACTTCCAATGTTTGGTCATATTTTAGGAAGTGGCTCAGGTCAAAGAGTTTTTATTACTGTCAATATTTAAAATATTTTGTCTATACAGTAGATAAAATACATTTTCTTTATTTGTTGCTTCCATTAAAAAAAAAAATAATAATCTAACTAGATGTTGCCTTGAGGACATCCTGGAATGACAGTTTTACTTAAAATGTTTGTTTGTCTTGATGATAGGTAAAGGGATGGTCAATGTTACTAACCTTCTGAGTTGTAAAGGAAGAGGAATGAGTTGGTAGTTGGTCACTTAGCCTCTTTAAACCATCATTGAGTTTAACTCTGCAGAGTTTAAATACTCTTTAGTGATAAAGAAAAGCCTGTTTTTGCCAAGAATTGGATCATTATTGCTGTTTATTATTCACTTTATTGCATCTTCCTTGTCTTATATTTATTGTAAGTCATTGACAACAACATTCACTTTGTCTCCATTATTTACTCTACATATTTGCCTTTAAATTTTTCTACTTTTTCAAGGATAAACTAAAAGAAATAATTTTATTACATGTACTGTGTTAAATTGAAATTCTGTGTTAATACTAAATTCTGATTTTTTTTTTTTTTTTTTTTTTATCTTCACCGGCTTTTTTTTATCTTCACCGGCTTAGTTTATAAAAATAATTTAAAAGTTTGAAAAAACTAATGTCTCTTAAAACTTTAAAATGGAAGTTTTTCTTTGTTTTAAATTTCATTTTCTATCATGCTACTTTTAGAACAAGTCTTACCTGTTATTTTTCACCTGACTCTTTCTTAGATTGATGAATTTGTTTTATTTGTGTATTTCTGTCATTCTTTGTAAAAAAATTCTGGTTCAATTTATCATCTGTCACAATTATTTATGCATAGGAAATTTACATTTGTGCTTAATTTGTCTTGGAAACCATATTAACCTTTCTTTTTATTATTAGATGACCAGTGTTTGCCAATCTCTATTTAAGAATATAACATCTTTTTAAGATTTTTTACTTCTAATAAATTATCTTTTTTAATAAATATATTTATTTCTTCCCTAATGAAGACAGTTTGGGAAAAAGAATTTTAAAAAATTTAGTCATATTTGAAAGATTTTTATTCAACAAAAATTCAGTCTGATACCTTTTAAAAATTAGTACATATTGTTCTAAATACAAAAAATCAAAGCATAAAAATAAGAAAATACTGTTTTTTTTTTTTGTTTTTTTTTAAAAAAAAAAAAAAAATGGTTTACTCTTAGTTTAGTTCCAAACTTCAAAAACCATCATTGCTTTTACTATCACTTGGAAAGGAATCATTAAACATTTCATTATTTGATCCAATATTATGATCATACAGAATATCATCCTTGGTGTCATCCATCTGTTATTATTACCACATTTCTTAAATGACTTAATCCATATATCACTTATTTTTCATCCCAAATTCTTTCCCATATGCAAACTTCAGCAAGTATTGATTTTTATATCTTTGCTGTATCAGATGCAAGCAGATTTTGGAGTAAAAAAATGCATCTTATACACCAAAAAATATGGTATATCAACATTTTTTTTTTGTTTGTTTATAAAGGTAGAATATTAATTTATATTGGTTAGATTAGTTGTTTGCTGAATAATTTTTCTTCTCAGGTTCAAAATAGTACTTTTAGTAAAAATTTTGATTAACATGGACATTAATAAACTTACTTTTATTGCATTTTTTTAAAAAATTTTCTCTCTCTCTCTCCCCCCATACTTTATTTTATATATATATAAAAAAAGTATTTCTTTCTCTTACATGACTATTTTTATTGAAATTTTTGTATTAACAACTTGATGCTCCAACTGTCTCAAAAAATCACTCTTAAAGATTATTAACATAATAAATATAAGTTGCATTATCATAATTTATTTAATGAATACATGTACTTTAAAATATTTATACAATATTTTAAATATGAAAATTTCAATAAGATAAACATTTATTGGTCATATTTTTGCTTGGAAATAAGTTTTTATCCAGGGTGAATGATAGCTTGAATTATGATATGAAATATATTTGCTAACAATTACTAAAGGCCTACAATTAATTCTTTTTTTTTTTCTTTTTTTTCCCCCTTTTTTTCTCTCTCTCTCTCATTTAGAAATCCGTACGGAGGCTGTGATGCAAGCTTTAGCTATGCAAAATAAGAAAGTGCCTGTGATGCCCCTTCCATCCAAGCGCACATCTGTCAACTACCATGGCCAGCAACAACAACAACAACGCAGAGAGATGCATGGTACTTACTACTCCAGTCAGTAACTAACCTTCTAATCAGTCTTTCTACTGCCAATTTATACTAACCCTGCCAACAAATATAAGAAAAAAAAAGAAAAAAAAAAGAAAACAAAAAACTCTTTCTGCTGTTATCTAGTCACTTCTTTATTTGCTATTTTCATTTCAATTAACCAAACAAGTTTTTCTTTTGATAGTATTTTTATGCTTTTGCTATAGTTTGCTATTTTTTAAGATTATTATTCATTTATTTTTATATTTTTGCTTGCAGTTGCTTTTGTTTTTGTATGCTTTATTTATTCATTTTGACTGCATCACCCCTTACGTTTTTTTTTATTTTTTTTTATTTTTTTTACTCTCTTTTCTCTTGGTAGAACTTTCTCTTTTGACATTGGCTGTAATGCTTATCAATTTCAACTTCTGATTTTTCAGGCTTAATAAAAATGCTTCTCTCCTAGAAAGAAATGGTTTATAGACTTCCTCAACAGTTTTTGTAAGGGAGATGCTGTTGTTGCTGTTTAGGGGAAGTATGCTGTGATTTTATTTACTAAATAATTCACAAGCATAAATAACAAATGTTATTAAATAATTACAATGTAAAACTATAATTTACTGAGTTTACCTGTTGCATAATTTCCATAACATTTTATCAAGAACCATTTTAGTAAGTAAGTGTACCAGTCATCTACTTATTAGCTTTCTCTAGGCCATAACGTTCATGATGTAATGAAGAGGATGATATATTTTATTTAATTTTAAACAAAATTAACAGATTATGCATTATATAGAATTTTTTAATATACCATATTTGCTAGCCTGTAAGGTTATTTGGGGGACTTTTGCTTATTGCAGTTCATCCAAGCTTTTTTAAATGGACTCTTGTTCATACATAATACCAACTCCTGGGACTATATTTGTCAATGACAAATACAATTATATATATAAAATGTATACAAATATAGAATATATGTTACGTTCTATATATTGCATATGATATGTTTTATTAAGGAGTCAGCTAGAATTCATTTTGTCATTTGTCTGTGAGTATGTCATCTTAACACTTAAGTCTATCCCCAAACTTACTGCCATAATACAGGATTTTTCTTTTTTTTTTTTTTTCTTTTTTTTTTTAAACAAAATTATTATGGGGAAAATTGTACATATATAAAAGGAGATATAGTTTTTGTTGAATAAACAATAAGTATTGTTGTATCAGAAATATTAAAGTTCACAATATTTATTAAAGATTGACTCTGAATTTTGTAATGTTTGTTCTTCACAACTCAGAATAAAAATAAAAAAAAGTTTTAATTACCAAATGAAACACTTGGAGCTAATGTGCTATAATTTATTAAAGCTATGAGCAATTGCAATGAAACCAAGTTTTTGTACAATTTTTGCAATAATTATATGTTGTGTAAGAGGAGTTCTTTTTGAAAATGGCAAATATTAGTGGAAATTTAAAAAAGCAAAAAAAAAATAAAATAAAGAAAAAGATTTTACAAACTGAAAATAGATAATATTTTGCATTGATAACAAGACAATGTATTCATTAATATTCAGTTTTGTAACTTGATTAGGATTGTAACATATTTTTATCATATTTTAAATTACTTTATGATACCTCAACTGACCAAAAGTAAATTCTGCAAAATAATGTGTTTGGTAAACAGAATTAATTAAATCTGGATATTTTTTCTATATTCTAAGATTACCAAAGATGACACTATTCCATTTATACAAAAAATATTTAGATTAGTGTTGCTTCTGATAAATTATGATTTACATTGCTATATAGTAGCTTTGTTGATTTGAAATTTAAAACAGAGATACTTGGATATGAGTTATATTAGATACTAGGATATGAGTTATCACCTTGATAATTTTGTCAGTAGGAAACTAATGATGCTAATTTTATAAGGCATTTAATTTGTATGCTGGAGTAACTAGTTAGCATTTTAGGCAATATACTATTGATACACACACACACACACACACACACACACACACACACTAGTGTTTCCCCAATACAAGGCCAAATAGCCACTCAAGGTATAGGATTACAATGTGGAGTTGTATTAGCATAAGAAAGAACAAGTGTTAGGAACATAGAGCTGAAGTAGACTTTAGAAGGGACCGGAAATCCAATCCTGAAGAGGAAACAAAGGATAAATCATGAACCGAACGATAGGTGAACCTATCTAATTCTAATATATAGGTGCTAGATTTAATTTCACAATACTGTGAGTCTATACAGAGCGTGTATTTTCTATACAATAATAATATTTATTATTTATACTATTTACATTCAGAGTATTGTCCTCATCTTTGTTGGCTTATAGCCATATCAGATTGAAACACCGATTCTCATCCAATCACTGAACTTAAGCAATGTGGAACCTGATCATTACTTAGATGGGTAACTGCTCGGGAATACCAGGTACTATAAGCTTGGATGTGCAGGTGGTGTAATGGATTATGGTACAGAATGAGAAATCAGTGAGTCAAGTTTGAATTCCAGTCAGGTTCATTATATTCACATGTGCAAATACCCTTGGAAAAGATATGAATCCACTTCTTCTCTTCTCAGTTATGGGTTAAATAGTAAGACTTATGTTAGAAAATTCTTACAATCTATAATTATGTTTCAGCTTTAAATAGCCTTAAAAAGGTTAAGCTGTCAAAAACAAATCGATTAAAACCTCATCTTGTTGTTATCACAGCATTTAAGCTGTTGTGCCCTCCAGGTTTCATCAGGTACATATCGATCCAGGTAATGTACAGGGAATTCTAAACTGAACCCTTTATTAATCTATGAGGGTAGACTGTTCTTGTTCCACTGCCCATGTCTAGGGATATCTTATCTAGTTCCTAATCGGTTATTACTTACCTTGTTTCCACTGTCCACGTACACACTGCCCATCCCAGGGGTTTAACTCACAATTACTGTGTCACCAAATTCACCCACTAGGCTATTGTTACCAAATTTCATCCACTAGGCTATTGTTACAAAACTCCTCATCCCAGAAATTCAGACAAATAATATTCATCATTTTTCATATCTATTTAGTAATGCTATTTTTATTAGCAGTGAAATCTATGAATGATATGAACATCAATTTTTATTTGAAAATAATAAAAAGACATTTATTCAGAAAGTAATTTTGACAATTTTTTCTGTTCAAATAATTATCAACACAAACTTCTGTGTTCTGCTAATTTTCCAATTCATAAAATACTGTTAAGAAATAGTTTTACAATACTCATGACTGTTGATAAAAACCCATGAAATAATTTGCAACATTCCTTGGTATATTATCCTTTTTAGCTACTAAAACAGCCTTGTTTACATTGAAATTATATTTGCTACAGTACTAAGCACAACCCAAGTGCTTTTAAGATTCATTTAGAAAAATAATCCAAGTAAGGGTTATTCTTGGGCACATTTTCAGTGATAAATATTATTTCAGTTTATGAAAACTGATCATTTCACTCTTAACTATTGCTTTTATTTAATGTGAAGCATAAATCTAATCCTAACATCAATGGTTATCAAAATGATAATCACTGAAGAGGAGACTTCAAACGAGAAATGTAATTTTACAGAAGGATACTGAGAATATCCTGGATGGAACATGTGAGCAACAAGGAAGTCTTAAGGAAAAGAGACCTTCAAAATTTATGGGGTACATAATAAGGAAAGAGAGCTTGGAGAATTTGACACCTACAGAACTTGTTGAAGGCAAGAGTGGAACAAGAACTAACCTACATAACAAGCTTGTGTAAATGTATTATAAACACAGACTGGGAGGGATATACACCTTGCTAAGAGCTACAAAGGATAGAAAGTTGTGGAGAGCCATGATTGCCCATGTCTTGAAGGGACATAGTACATAAGATTATTCTACAAAAGTGAATTAGGCTTTTCTTACCTGTTTTTCTCTGTAAATATAAGTGGACAAATAATAGCTCAAAAGTTATTTTAAGATATTTTATAAGGTATAGATTTTGTTTGTTATTCCATTATTAATATTAAACTATAAAATATACTGTTTATTGTGTATTATAAGTAACTTACCTGTACACCTGCATTATACACAAGTCAGAAGTGATTAAGTCAAGCTGCCATTTTACTTTTTTAATGAAGTTATACATTTTTGTGTATGCATAAAACCCAGCCAATTCCAGTCTGAACTAATCAAGCAAATTGAACATTCCACTCCTCAATTTTTTTATTTTTTTTTATCTATTTACAATAAATGTAACAGAATGTTTCCACTGTACCTTGAGTCAAAACTAACTTGCTATGCTTAGTTATCCTTGTATCTACTTCCTTTAGATTTACTGGTTGGCTTAGTTATATTGCCTTCTACTAATATTGTACAAATGCAGCTTTCTGTCAAAGCTAAAAGTAATTGGGGCAGAATGTTTTGGGCCTATGACCTATTTTCCTAAGATTTGACTAAGGCCCAGCTTTTTATCTGCAGCTGATTATCTAACAAAGGAAGAATTGTCTTGCTTGTACAACAAGGATTACTAAGTCAAATCTGAATTTTGATTTGCAATATTTTCTGTGTTGTTGAATTCAAATCTCGGTGTTTACTCTAATTTCTAGCAAATGGGATACTAGCTTAAATTAAATGTTAATAAGAGTGTTTTATTATAGCAAAGTTCTGTGCATATTTGTTGCCAACAGATTGTCTTGCTGCCAAAAAGGCTACTGTCTAGAGCCTGACAATTATTTTCTTTTTCTCCTTCAGCAAGATCATTTTAGCCCATGAGATTTAACTCTGGAAAGGTTGTTTTATTAGTTTTTAAGGATCACTTTTCCAAAGGTCTCTTACTATTTTATGTTACTGTCAAGTTTAGAAACTGCCTGATATAAGCCCCTTTCACTATTTCTAAGAAATATTCTCCCACTTAACATGTGTATATATATATATATATATATATATATATATATATATATATATATATATATATATATATACACACACACACACA